TGATGTAGTCAGCAACTACTAAATTCAGTATTCGTTTTGCAAAAAAGGGCTGTCAGATACATTTGTGAGGCAAAATCACAAGATCACTGCAAACCACTTTTCATCAGTCAGAAAATTCTAACTTTACTTTGTATGTTCCTTTTGAAAACCGTGTGTCTAATACACAAAAAGTATTCAAATACAGCAGTAAACAATGACAGACGATACCATACAAGAGGAAGTCGGGATCTACCCCTGCCAATACCAAAATTAGCAATTACAAAATTTTCTCCGATATATGAGAGCAAGAAAATATATAACCACCTCCCAATGTACTACAGGGAAATAACAAATTTAAAAAAGTCCAGGAAATCAGTTAAAGAGGTATTCCTGCAAAAAGCCTACTATGACTTTATGAATATTACACTGATGAATTTTAAAGCTTAGTACTTCCGTTGCTTACTTATCTGGATTGCGTTATTTATTTATTCATCTGTAATGTTTGATATATTCTCTGTAATGTTTTATTTATTTTTATATTTATATTTATATTCGTTCAGGTACACATGTTTTAACTCTATAATGATTTTTCATTATATTTCATATAATTTTATATTTTCAATATTTCTGACTTTATAAAATTACACTTACTTTGTCGATAAGAATTACTTCTTGGACAATAAAGCATGATTGATTGATTGAAGTATTCTTTCAACTTAACCGATTGGAACATGCCTACGTGAAAAGGCTTGATTCAATCTGGTGTAGTTCACACAGAGAAAAATGTTTTCACTTCTTCCCACTATCACAATCGGACTTTTCTTTATCGTTTGGAGCGCACGAAAGTGAATCCCTATAATGTTCATAGAACATCGTGCGTTCCTAGGGAGGATAGGGACAGGAGGTAGGTATTGGCATTTTTCTTTACTCAAGATGTGTGATAATCGACAAGTTTATGTTCCGTTTTGGTTATCGATCAAGTTTCAATGGATTCAATGAAGAACATTTTATTTAACCCTTACCAAAATGAAAGATGTTAAGATTTACAAAAGCAGATCTCTCTAAGATTAATTCACAAAATTCTCCGATAATAACATAAATCTCAGTTTTGTAATCTCTAATAATATTACACAGAGTCAAATGCATATAGTACCTCGTGAATCCGAAGGATTGCCTCAAGGCCCTGTTACTAGCTTACTTGTTCTAGAGAGACTGGGCCATTTCTCCTTCTGATATTGGAAGAGGAAAACAGCTATATCTGCACTTGAGTCAATTATAAAATCAACATCTCCATTGAATTCTAACATTCTAAAAATTATAGTCCATTTATTATCCAAGGTGTATTGATTTGAATGAACCCTATAAAACTACTAGGTGAGGTTAACATACAATCCAAACCATTTTTTACATCGAAACTGACTTAATTTTGCCTAGTACCCCTACAAACCGTTGCCCAGTGTCCCTGTTTCTTGCATGCTCTGCAGGTTGATTGGTTTGCTAGATACTTGTCTGAATAATAAGCAGCTTATCCACAGAATTGACACTTTCGTTGTATTTTTGGATCATCCTTCCCTTCTTCTCCTAGGAATCTGAAGAAACAAGAAGACATGGCAACGCTGCTTGACAATTTGATTCGTTTATTTTAGAATTGGTTCTCAAACTGGACACTAGAGACTGATTCTGCTGCGGCTCCTGCGCGACACGATATCCCGCCAATTCTGTTACTTTGGCTCGCTTGAAGCTCTGCTAACTTCACAGCTAGAGCACAGTCACACAGTGTCAAATTTGCCTGCAATCAAATCATCCCGCTCGTTTTCTGGTCTAGAATGCCGACAACGATTTTTCCACAAATCAATTACCCTTTGAGTGCCCTATGTTCACAATGTTCAACTCATGAATCTAATCTTGTGATTGTGATTGTGAACAGTTCAATTGTTCCCCCTGTTTGCGGAGTTCTGATATTGAACTTGTAGCGTCCAGATATCATATAACGCGAGATGAAATAATTTTCAAAAGCAATCAATGTGGCTACGTACGAGGTAGGCACTCCACAAAATTGCAACATCACTTCTCCGGCATTTTCTTCTCAGACATTCATGCGAATGTTGATGTTTCCTTTGTCGGATTCTGTATTTCGTCCACGCACTGACATAAATCGATCGAATCATTTTCGCCACTGAGGCCATGAGGCAGGCACAGAAAAGTCAGATTTGTTCGGCGGAGGTACCGGCACGGATATGAACTAAGCAACCGACATCACAACGGGAGCGTTTTTGTCGCTTTCAGAGTCACCTAGGGCCAAGTTTGTTAGTCATTCCGTAGTGAATAACTCGAACTGCTCAACAGCGTAATACTTTTGTAATTTCCTGGATTGTCTACCGGTCTATTTTTGTGAATCAGGTTCGATGTGATTGTGCACGATGCTTTGAGAGTGCTTTCTTCTTCTGAATTTTCATGGAATAATACACGGAGATTTTCTGTGAATTCATTGCTGATCTGATCATCGCCTAGAGCTTATTCATTTCTGAAGATATTTAGGACTAGGCCCAGTTCATCATAATAGTTATAGGTGCATCTATATGAGGATGCTTACAGTCAAAGAGTTGTATGTTATGAGGAATATAAACTCATGTGATTCTTGAGATATGGAAGGCCTTCTTTCCAGCAATAGAGAGTTCGAAATTGTTCGTATTCACACTTCAGAAAATAGTTGGGATCCTGGCGTTCGTTGATTCTCCAGCGAACAACCTCTCGTGTGAGGGTTTTTTGTGCTTTATCAAATGTTTGTATTATCGTTTTATTGTCAAGTACTCTTCCTCATATGATTATGAAGATTTGTCTCTTTTCGTAGTTATTAAACATTCATTCAGTTTGGTTCATAGTTAATCAAACACAGGGTGTTATTTCGTCAGATCAGGGTTGAAGTTCGAGACATTTGTTCTGATGGAATCTGATATCTCAGGAATAACCTGACACAGATCAGTATGACAAATGTCAATATCTCCTATAGAAAAGACTCTGTTGGGATTCCGTGAATAATTCTCATGAGTAGCAAGGAGTTCTCCTTCCAAATGTCTCGACTGAAGAACATTCGAGGGATCAAGGTTGCTAGACCTTTCCAAGATATAACGAGTCCAAGTTCTAGGAAATAGTCATCTGAAATAGGGACGTTGTTAGGAGTTTGAAGATCTCGAATAATTGATGATCTACAATTATTACACCAGACATGTTCCATCACGCTTTGCCCAAGATGGTAACAATAAGTGGAATTCGCTGGTCTGCCACTATTTGTTTTTCCAACCAACAAGGTGAACGAATTAATAAGCATGAAATCATACGTTGTTTCATCCCTGATATTGCATATTTCGCCGTGACTGAGCCTTTCTGAATCATGTTGTGCCACGTTCCCTCTCCGACGAAGTGAGTGAACGGGTGTCCTATAGCACGCGCAAAAGGGTTGCTCGGTACACAGCGGGTATAGGGTAAGTTTAAAGAACAATAAAAAGCAGGGCGCCACCAACTTATTTTGGACAAGTTCAAGTTGGGAAACTCTCTGGATAGAACCAGAATTCATTTCCTGAATTTTCGATATGCTGAGTTGAACGGGGAGAAAATGAGTTGACTAGCACCGAATGGGAACTGAGATACCTCATTATCAACCCGGCAACATCGCTTTCTCTAGGTGTAAGCAGATTACTCTGATTATCGCTGGATACATTCAAGTTTCACATGAATTCGCAATATAGATATTCAAGTGAGGATAATAATTTGCCACACTGTCACACTGACCTAAAATGGCATTGGAATAAATAAACCTCCCTTCGTGTACACGTAGAGTTCACAATGATCTTGGGAGACTGATTGGACCAATAGCAGTGTGATCAACGATGATGGGTTGATAAAATTCCTGATATCAATAATATTTTCAAACTAGAAATGAATAGAACCCCAAATAACGATTATAATAAACATGCGCCTTATCTGTGGTCTTGCTGTTGATGAAAGCAGCAGCTCCAGTTCGTTCTCTCCTTACGAGCAAAAGTAGAGCAGAAAGCAAGTTGCATCCAAGCAAAGTAGGTAGGTGTTTATGCAACAATGATTGTGTGCTAGATGTGGGTATTAAATTACAGGTCTCCGCGGTATTCATGCAGCTATGAAATCGCACTAGATATGGTACTAGATGGAATAATATGTAGATAGTATGGATAGAAACACCACCGTCTTTCATCCCCGCAAGATTGAAGAACCCTGAAAGTGAATAATATTTTGATGATTTGTACTGACTCACCGTAGTTTTTCTAGAATTACCTCAAAGATGATGGTTGAGGGTTTGACGTGTAGGTACGGGTTGATGGTTTCACCATGGATGATGCATGAGCCGATATCACCAGATTCTTCGAATGGGGCACAATTTTCTTATTCTGAAGATCCCAAACGTGGAGAGACAACGATACGGCTAAATTGGTAATTGAGCTGAAATAAAAACTCCCAATATAATGGATGAACAAAAATTCAAAAACACACACTTTAACTTTTGCTATGACTGACACGACACATCACCAATGGCTGCGCAGACATTACCGATCAATTCCGAATCAGCTCGTTGTCAAACAAATGACATCTCAAGTTCGATGATGTCATTTCCTAACACGACAGGAATATGAAAATAACAGGTGCTCTGAGATCGCTACAGGTGATGTTTGCTATCATGTCAAGGGTTTCGTGCCTTCCGTCATATCTAAGTGCTGGAAAGAATATGGCCGCGATCAGCTGTTGGGCCATAGCTCTGAAGTTGCAACTAGCCAAAATATCAAAACGAAGGACCGAGCAGCTGTGACTACGGTGAGGATCGAGGTTATGGTGAATAAACATAAACAATCTGTTGGAGCAAATAGGGGAAAACTAGATAAAATAATAGTAATGATTCACTTCAATTATTAAATCAAAGAAGTCCAGTATCACGTATTTATTCGGTATAGTCTGGTATTATACTACTAACATGTTTCCTGTGTCTTTCGTAGGTTCAACCTCTCCTGCCAAAGGCAATCACTGCTACCCAACTCATACAAAACGATGATCTACTCAACGAACAAACTGCAGAAACGACCCGAGTGATCGTAAAAACCCTACATGTTTGAAAGAAACGTTCGGATAATTGTGACAAAATAACCGCATCCCATGTTTCCATTTCGAAATAAAAATCTTAAGTGAATATATATATATATATATATATATATATATATATATATCGTTATATGTTTTGTTCGAAGGTATGTATTGGAATGATCTTGCATAGTGCTCATAAAGGGTGACATGAAAATGAGCTGTTGATATTTGACGTTCATAATCAGAATTCTGAGCTCCTAACATGAACTTATTGTATTCTGAATCTGAAAGTTACAAATTCTCCCCCCCCCCCCAACTTCAAAAGATTTTCACTAAAATTCTTTGGGGATTTACTCATCAGGTGGATGAACTTTCAGGTCTTCGCAATACCATACGCCTTAACTTTTATTACGGTCGTCCTTAAATTCGTAAGTCCAAGGTGACAGCCGTTTTGCAACTAAAAAGGGTCCTACGAATTTTTTCATCAATTCAGCGTTGAAGTATTCAGATGCATCTGGGAGCACATAATAACGACGCCAAACGCGTTGATTGGGAAGATATTGGTCGTCCCGACGACGTGAATCATTAGCCTTTTTATTTTGAACGTACACTTTGGATAACCGTTTCTGAACGTCCTTATATATCTGATCGAAACTTTCTGTTCGCTCGTGATTGACGGCGGACCTATCAGATTGAATGAGGTCATCACTACTGAGCGTTCTACCCTCACGACCGTAAACTATGAAATTTGGGGAATATCCAGTAACTTCATGCTTCGAAGACCAGATTGCAGAACCGATCCGCGGTGAGTTCTGGTCCCAAGTCTTATGGTCATCTGCAACATACGCACGTAACATCGTCTTAATGACGCGATTAATTCTTCCGCAAGGGTTAGCCTGTGAATGATATGAAGCGGTATATTTAGCAGTGACATTGTAAGTTTTGAGAAGTTCCTGAAACTCTCTCCACCTGAACTTCACTCCATTATCTATTATAATGGCATCCGGACACCCAAACACTGAAAATACTTGATTTTTCAATATACGAGTAATTTCCGACGCGACAGCTTCACGTAACGGAAAAAGAAGAAGAAATTTACTGAAACAACACGCAACTACAGATATATACTGGTAACCAAACTTGGACCTTGGTAGAGGACCTACCAAATCAACACATAATAGTTCAAGAGGGCGAGAAATACCAGATTGTTGACTTAGGCCAGATGAGGATTTTTGTTCAGGATTCACTGCGTGACAAGTCAGACATTGACGAACAACAGGAGCCTCATCAGCCTGCATTTTTGGCCAGTAATAAGATTCGGAAATTTCATGAAATGTTTTGAATACTCCTGAATGACATTAGGTGTCATGGGTCTCTTCAATTGAAGGTCGACATAACTGTTTTGAACTTACTTCGCGTCGAAAATCAGAAGAGGCGGCTAAAGCTGGATGCGAGGGATCAACGTGTTTGAATAACTTGCCGTTGATAATTTGCCAGTTGGGAAATTTCTTCGGGAAACGATAGACTTTATTCATGAGATTATCATACCAAACGTCAGTTTCTCCTGACTTAGACGAATCCGGTGGGTTATCGTGGATTATATCTTCTAAAGATGAGGTTAGTGGAACAGATGAAACGAGATTCCCTTCCTCTACTGAATATATGACCAGCACAGACCGAGATAACGTATCTGAGACTACATTCTTTTTGCCTCCTCGGTGGACTATTGTATAGTCAAATTGTTGCAATTTGATGGCCCAATGGGCAAGACGACCTGAACGTGATCGCAGGCGATTCAACCACATTGAACTAAAATGATCAGTTATAACCGTGAACTCCGACCCTTTGACATAAGGTCGCAATTCTTTTATGGCCCACAAGACCGCCATACACTCACGTTTGGTGGTACTATAATTCCTTTCGAAACGGGAAAGAGAGCGGGACAAATAACAAACTACTTTCCCGCCGTCTGGATGCTGATGGGTGGGTACAGCTCAGATAGCATAATCAGAAGAATGATAGGATATCTGGCAACACTGGCGCGACTTAAAAGATTCGGACCACGAATTTGGTTTTTAAAAACTTTTATTTTATTGGCAAGTGAATCGTACAATATCTAAGTCAAGACTGACTGAACTGTGTTCTTACAAATCGGGAATAACAAAGTTTGAATCAGCACTTCTCACGAGAAATATCAAAGTGCTGGTGAAGCGTTTCCTATTTCATGGCAAACCGTGAGAATCGTTCATGTAACTCCTCCATCCCTAATGGAAAGCATTTTTCATGGAGTGAAGAATGCTCGAGGGTGCGCTTCTGGTGTTGAGGTCGGCAAGGCCTCGGATTCTTCTTGCGTCTTCTCTTCTGATGATCTTCGGTTTCGGAGGAATCTAACAATATGATAGACTCCAGCCAACATCAATAGGACATAGATCAGGATGATCCAGTGGCTGCTCTGTGATTTCTCGGTGTGGCTAAGGATCATCGGTGTCAGCTTCTTCTGCTCGCTCTGAAGTGTATGGATTTCGTCTAGAGGGATGTCATCAATGACGATCTCGGCTTTGGACATCTTTGATGGACCATGAGGGACGGTGATTTCGGGCAGCAGCATTGGTTGACCATTGGATACGTCTTTCTGGTTGATGAACTGATCACTATCGGTTCCAAATCGGCATCCTAGGGGCAGGGTTATTAGATAATTGCCTTGCAGGGTTGTGAAGTCAGTGCGCCCGCATATCGTTCGGATTTTCGTTTCGTTTGGGAATACTGCAATGTAGTGGGACTCGTCAATCTGTTGGACCATATTCCTCGTGGTGCGTATTTGAGTCTGATGGCAATTTTTGTAGGTGGATTCCATTTGTAATAGCTGGAATACACAGTCTTCTTCTTTGATGCCGTCCATTAGTTTTTCTTCGGTACAGTAGTAGTCAGGATGCAAGGCCATACAGGGCGATGATGTGTATTGATAGAAATTTTCATTCATGATCAGATAGGTATTAAGGGGGATAATTGTTGTTGAATTTTGTGTTGGAATGGAATAGAGGTGGTAATAATAAAAGGTTTCCGGGTGTATTATTGGAAAGTGGAGAACGAAAACAATCTTTTTGTCTGAATAATATGCTTCAATATCTATTATTTCGTAATACTTGTGAATGTCATGGGCGATATCAGGAAATATCAATTGATCCAGAGAATAAAATTTCAGAATAGATTCAACGATAGACTTGAGTTCGTCAATTTTCAATATACTACTGTGAGGAACTTTGAGTTTAGCAAACGTTACCGCATTCTCAATATCATTCAGAAGTTGAATGATTATATTGAGTGACAAATTCATTTGATCCAAAATATTCTTGGTTTCCAAATAGTCGTTGAAATCGTAGATAAATTTATTCAATTCAGAATTAATCCGATTCAAACCAGAAGTTATAACTTCTTGATTATGTTTGATTAAAGTGATTGTTTTATTAAAATTAGTGATAATTTTGGTAGTAAGAGAAATGTCTTTATTCAATTTCTGTACGATTTCTTTCTGATTATTCTCTAAGTCCTGGATTGCTTGGTTATAATGGATTGCGTCGTTCGCATCTAAATTGCCAGAAATTCCTTTTATGATGGTACCTAAACCGTCAATGAGACCACGTTTCATCCTGCTATTGGGACATATAGAATGGAATTTTTGTTCAGCTGATTTTAATTGATATAGTAATGATTTATCGAAATTTTGAAGTTCAAGGAAATATGGGCTAAGTGCATTTTGAATAGAATCTGTAATATTTTCATATTGGAGTCTTAACGATTCTAGTTCTATCTGAATGGGAGTGAGGTCAAAATAATGGATGAAGGTATGGGTTTTGTATTTAAGCTTGGCTAGGCCCAGCTTGAACGGAAGGATCCCCGGATTTTTGTTCAGATTGGTTATTTGTACTTCCTGGGACATTGCTAGCACTATTAGGTGATACCTGCAACAATTTAGGCTTATTAGCCGGAGGTCTTCTCAAATTTTGTTTGTGAAGTGTTTTTCGGGTGGATGTTACTTTAATGTTCCTGTTCCGGACCACTTTGTCCTTAGAAAATCTCTTAGTCAATTTATTGCGATTGTTTGAAGTCAACTTTCTATATACGTCTGTTTCAGTTTCATAGTTCAAAGGTTCTTGTCTGTCTTTGTTGTGTTTCTCTATCGATTTCAGTTTCTATTCGGTCAGCTGTTCATTTAGTTTTTTGTAAATTAGTTTCGTGGTGTCTCGATGTTCTTGAATATAGTTATTCATAAGACTCTCATTCAGATTTATGTCAAAAGGATCTTTACTATCTAAATGACCGTTAACGATGTTAATAGGTTTTTGTTTTGTCACAGAGTGTACTGAATTGTTATATCCTAGAATTGCATAGGGCATATGATTTAAAATGTCAATTTTGTCATTGTTTTTGCTTTTTATTACTCTTAAATGCTCAATTATAGTTGAATGGAATCTTTCGATTGCTCCATTAGATTGTGGATTATTGACTGTAATATAGTGAGTGTTGATTTTATGCGTTTTGAAAAATTCTTGAACAACAGAGTTTTTCAATTCGGTTCCATTATCCATCACAACTAAATTTGGAAGCCCGTGATGGGTCATAAAAATGAGAAAGGCCTTAACTACTTCTACGCCTGATAGTCCTGTAAGAGGGTATGCTTGAGCATATTTAGAGAAGGTGTCTATGATTGTGAGAAATTTTTGTCCTTGTGCTTGAAAAGTGTCAATGTGAACTATTTCGAATGGTTTCGAGGGTGTAGGTGTTATCATCAGTTTTTGCTTGGGTGGATTTCGGTCGTATTTATTAGTTTGATAAATTTCACAAAGTGTTATGTATTCAGTCACGTCAGTCTTCAGTCCAGGCCAATAATATGTCCTTTTAATTCTGTTTTCTGTCTCTGTTATACCGCGGTGGTTGTTTTGGTCCTCGTGATAAATCTTTATTATTTCTTTTTGTGTGAAGTCTTTGTCAGTAATGTCTCTCAAAACCGTGTTGCATCTTACTAATTTATAAG